AACTTTTTTTTTTTTTTCCCCCTACCTAATCATATTTGTTTCTATTACTAACCTTATTGCCCCTGCGTACAAGGGAGAGGTAGCTACTCTTACATTAGGTAATATGCAAGGCATTGTTGTTTCCATCCAGCGTAGCCCACAGATTAAATTCAATTAAACAGATTGCCAAACAAATCAATCAAACAAATTTAGAATCCCGGCTTTAAAAAAACGATCGATGTATCTAGTACGATCCATGGATTGATAATGTTCTGTGTTATTCGTGAACCACTTATTCGCGAAACTGGGGTTTCACCTCATATTTAGTGGCGGGGTTCTAGACCACGGTCTACTTGCCAATGTCACAAAGGTCTAGACCATCATGGAAGAATCATACGATGTTGCTAGCCCAATGATGCACCTCAGACCAATTCTACGGGTAATCAGGGTTGTCCTTCATTTTCCCACTTCCCCACCAACTGACTGGTACGTTAACACTGGCAAATGGACCCACTGCCTTTTCTTCTAAACTATTGGGATTTTCCTTTTGAAGTTAGCATAGTACACTGCATCAGTTTTGTCTCCTTATATACCGTTGACGGTCTTAAGCAAACGATCAGCAACCACCTACTACCTAGCTAATAATCCTGTTTAAGATCCTGGTGCGATAGCTACATTCTTACACTGACACGATCCTTAATTGCGCTCGGCATCTTGCGGAGGAAGGAAGGGTCTGGCACCATATTACTGTCGACGACTGAGGACTGACAAAGTATCAGAAGTGTAATGCACAAACTGGAGCAATGTACGTAGCTCTCTCTATTGCCTTAAAGTATATATTCATTTTGTTTAATATCGCTGAATCTGCTATAGTGGTTTTGTGTTCCTCTGCAGACCTGACCTGCACCCAATTCTGGTGATCTTGAGGCTCTGGGTAATGTTTAATTTGGTTGAGATTTAAGGGTAGATATCACAGGGCCTGTGGCTTAATCCATATCGATGATATCGAGACCAAGCGGAAGTGGGACAAACAGCCTCAGAAAACGAAAATGAAGCTCGCAAAATCCTGTCTATACTATATTAAAGAATCAAGGTGAGCTCATGCCAATCCACATGCATCAAGTGACAATTCGAAAAGCCGTACATCCAAGGCCAACTTGTTTAAGACCCAGCATTAAAGGCAGAAGTCTTACATTGTGTCACCAATCAGTGAGCCACTTATCATTTCTCAGGTCGGTGACCGTCTCCTCTTAGGTCTCTGAAAGGTCGTCTCCGAGTTACTGGCTAGTCTGCATCCTTCTAAAATGACCTGGTATCATCTGCAGCTGTAGATAGATCGCTATCTTCACTAGATATCGAGCTATTGGTGCTGAGCGGCGGGAAGAACCTGGCAGGGGATGGCAGTGGAACCGGTACCAGCTTCTCTGTGCGCCATGACAGATACTCAATCCCGACAGGGCATGATCCTTTGGTTATTTTTGTTTCTGAACCACCAGGAACGGAGCCAGAAGTCCACGTAGCCACTTTTTGATGAACTGTCTCTTTCATGCTTTCCTTCAACCTCCCAATCTCAGGGTCAGTAGACCGTAGAATATCTTGCTTTGGCCGCTTTGTATCCACCACTACTCTAAAATTATCGTGAGGGAGAACACCAAGTCCGCAGGGTTCCAAGAGCTGCTGCCTAATGTCTTGCTGAGCGTCATTCCAAACACAATCCAGCTCAATAGAGCTGCTTTGCTGACTGCTATCAATCATCAGATCCTGAACTTCATTATTATTACCCCTAGCTTTTGCTGGAATTCGCTGCCGCAGATCTTGGTATTGATCCGTTAGCGGCCTGGAGCTGATATAGGACCCTGGTGTTATTTGTCGAGGATACCGAGCGAAATCTGATGGTTGCTGAGAATTATCTCTAGTTTGGGAGCTTGATGATGTACAAGCAGTTTGTGAAACATTGGTTGGATCACCTGTTAGATCAATGCAGAAGGGTGCGCCGCTATAATATGTGATAGCACCTTCGTGGTGTTGCCGCCTGCCAGCCGGCCATGCTAAGTTTCCCAGGCCCAAATTTGACTTGCCAGAGTTATCATTACTCGCGGCTGTAGCGGAGGAAACCGACCTGTCCCGGGAAATATGCCCTAAAGAAGAATTTTGCTGAGCAAACAGTGGCTTATAGCGGAAATTCTCAACTCGAGTGCAAAGCTGCGGATCAAATACAGGCACATCATTACCTAAGCCACTGAGTTGAGATCCATTGCTAGTGAAACGGCTTATTTTCTGGCGCTCCCGTCTCTTTCCCGACTTATCGACATTACCGACAGAAGGAGTTTCTGACGTCTTATAGCCAGAGCTGTAGCTACTGAGCTTGGTATCCTTGGATTCGCCTTGCCATAGAATCTTATGCCCGTCAGTGGATAACTGAAGTCTGGTGCTGTTTTCGGATACGGCCGAGCGAACGAAGTCTGGTGTCACATTGATCAAGTGCAGCTGCGCTAAGTTGTACAGGAGGTTCAAGGACACCCAGCCTTCAGCGTCTAGGTTGATGCCCTGGCTACTTTGCTGTCTAGGTAATACCTCGGGCAGCAGTAGGTCCAAATGCCGGATGTAATCCACGTTCTCAGACGGAACCTGAGCACGATCAGGGTCCAGATCACAAGGTCGCGTTGCTCGTTGTTTTGGCAGAAGCAGGAGTGGGGGGAACGACTTAGTGCTAGAGACCGAATCTTCATCATTGCCTCCGGTCTTTATGCTGTCTTTGCTGGGATCAGAAGGTAAGACAGAGTTACTTGAATGACAGTCGTTTCCCCAAGTATGAAATTGCTGTTCTGGAGGAAGGATTCTGGCTTCGCGGATAGGCTTATGTCTATCAGTGGGTAGTTCGTGGACAGGTGATTGGTCCGTCACCTGGCCATCAGTTACATCGCCCATCATGATGAAGCTACCACCCGGCCGCACAAGTGGTGTCTTCAAGATATCGGCAATGTAATCTCTGCCTGTAAAGAGCTGTTCGAGACGACGAACAACGAGACTCTTCCGCTCCCTGTCTGTCATGATTGCATGTTGTGGGTACAGACCGTCTGGGACATCTCGCAGATAATCCTCAGCCTCCCCCTTTGATGGTTGAGTTGAAGTCAAGATGGGGTGGTTAAGAGGGGTTCTTGAAGACTCCCCACCAGTCGACATGGAGGCATAAGCGGAGTCAGTTGGTCGGAGGGTGGAGCTTCGAGAGGAAGGAGCACGTTTATGCTGAATTCCAGATTCGGAGTATGCGTGATTGCGGTTGTGTGGCGATACCCTTGTTCTTTTTTGCGATGATGACCCCTTCGGAGACCCGCCAACATTAGTTGCAAAATCTCCCAATATGGCGTCGAGCTCTCTCTTTTTCTTCTGGGGCAGCCCATGAACCCTTATATCAAATAGCTCGTCTTTATAGACCTCGGTAGGACCTGGTTTCTTATATCGCTTGAGTTCCTTCTTAAGCTGTTGAATCTCAACTGTTAAGTCGTCGATAATACCGCGGTAGTCATGGTCGTTACTGCTCTGTGCCGTGATGGGTATAGAAGGTGCAACCTGGTGTCGAGCGTACAAGTCTGGCTTCGCATTCCGAGGAACAGATCCTTTTCGGTGACAAGGGACATTAACTAGAGCTTCATGTCAGTTTCATGTAAACTCTATGAGCCAGCCAGAGGTAGTTCATACCATTTATGGCATTATCATTAGCAATTGCATTATGGCTCCATTCATTACGCCACTCTAGTGGGTCATTTGATCCCGTTACATGACCGCTGGTGAGGGAATTGATATGAAGAGAATGATCAGCTGGTGATGGCGGGCTTCCAGGTGGACTGTTTGGATTTGTAGGCATATTCGCCGCGTGAGCATACGAGAAGTGGAGCAAGACCCTAATAGGACTTATTAATCTTCGAAATGGTAAGAATTTCCGCGTATAATCATCGTCAGACTATCTCATGGTAAGACTTTTACGTCTCGAAAATCATCCAATAATGTCGGGAGACGTCTAACGATAGTCTTCCGAGCCAATCTCTCAGTAATGGTAGTAGAGAGCCGGAGTCGCGGCGAAGTGGTCCAGCACAGGATGAGTTTAAAAACGATGCGCCCTCCTGAGCGTAAGTGATATAACAGTCGATGAATTCAACCGGCCAAGAGTCGCCGAAGTTGCAGGGGAGACGGCGATAAGTTTGATATACCTAGTTATTAACCTCGTAAACTCGTACAGCAGCGATTAATGATAAAAAACGGCCATGATGCTCGGTCGCGGTACCGTGCGTAGTGCGTTGAAGAACGTAAAAGTACGGGAAGAATGTGAGGGAGGGCTACGGTCAACCTCTTTGCTTCTGGCACGGGCCACTTACCAGTGATCCACCGGCTAGTGGGGGTGTGGAATACAAGTGGAAGATCCAAGACCCCGACTCCGCGAGAAAAAAGTCTAGACCCTGACATTATAAGCGCTATGGACGGTTCGGGATGGACGGCAGAGCAGCTATCGCTCAAACCAGAACCTACTGGGCCCTTGTCTGTCATTGTCAGTAGCTGAGGCACCAGTCAAAGCTCCAGGCTACTGCAGCCCAATGTGCACATGGCGCTGTCGTAACGCGTTGAAATTAGATTCTGGACCAATCAAGGGCGTCAGAGCTCGAACGGAGTTCAGCTCCGTTAGCTTAAACTCTCTTCTTACATAATACAGTGGAATGTATGGCAGGAACTGGTAAAAATTTACGTGTCCCGGAGATACGGGGAAGTACTCCTTTATTAGCGAGAGGTGGATCTGGACATAATAAGGAGACGTTATGATGATCAACGCCTTGCCTCATAGGGCCATCATATACAGCATGGGTGCAAAAGGATGGGGGATCGGGTAAGAGACGAATATCTCATGTTTTCATCATAATCACCGAATGAGGTATTTTCGTCACAGTAAATCCACAGCCTTATGTCAGATGCCGGGACCAATGAGCGGCGCGATTCTGGGGTCTTTCTACTGACATCAAGGTGTCTTACCCCGTACTTCACACCTCGACCATCGGCTGGAGACCCTCTCCTTCGTACTGAGACAGCTGTTCGATGGCCAGCAGGGGTCCCTAACGGCCGTGGGGCGGAGCTAGGAGCAAAGGTCAGAGACCAGTAGTCTCTTGGCTTGGTTCGCGTATTGATGAGGTCGAGGAATTTAAGAATATGGACAGATCAAATAACCCAGGAACTCTTATGTCAGGCCCAGACGAGAGATTCTCGCGATTTGATGAGTTAGACAAGATGCTTACCCGGCGCCTCGGGATGTGTAAACTGCGGAGTGTCGCAAATGACGTAACTTTTGCTTTCATGATTTGTTAGAGAAGCCAATCACACGCAGAGAGCATTAGACCTGGGACCTGATCAATATGGACACCAAGTGATGTAATGAAAATACCTTACCTAGTTACTATGATAATAGCATAATATAATTTCACTGCTAAAAAACTAACTAGTTTCTTTCCTTGTCTCCCTTCCCCATAATAAAGGAATGGGCTAATGGATTTTGTTTTTTCGAATTTATATTATATGTGATGGCCTTATGAAGCAAAGTTTTGATCATTATAACACCCCTCTTTTTGCAACCGTTTTGCTTCTTAATACTAATCCCGTTTCCTATTCTTAATTATTGGTAGTTGCAAGAAAGATTTCTTACATTGTTTGAGTCCCTGAGCTATTCTATTATGCATCCTGCACTAACCCTCCCTTTGACTGTGAGGTTATACTAAGAGGTTAGCTACGAGCAAAATCGGCCTAAACCTATCTGTATACGGCCCGAAGAAAAAAACCCATCTTTTATTAAATGGTTATCGGCTTATATGAAGTGAGTAAGCACTTAAATGACAAATGAGGAGCGCGATATTAGCCAGCTAGCGGGATTGGATTCTTATGGAGGATAATATTCTTATAACTTAGTACTGAATGCTGAGCGATCCCGACTAGAAGTGGAAATAGCCTATTTAAACTACCTTCTTGTAGCTTACAAGGACTGTTGCGGTGTTTTGCAGGTTTGTACGCACCCTGTACGCCTTGGGCCCCCTTAGAACATACTGGTAAGCGAGGCCTCTTCCCGTTAAGACTGAAAAACTTACTGAACTTATAGATATTTAATATTGCTAAAACGAGAATAACCCCGAAGGCTACTGCTTCTACTGGTAAAATAGAATGAATTGTTCTGTGAACTTGGTTAGTAATTGCACCTCGAGGCTATTTCCCTTTGGCGCAGTAAACAATTGTTGAATAGCTTATTTTGGCTGGCTGCGGATTAGCGAAACCGGTATATATTCCATCTACTTATAGTCTATGCAAGAACTCTTCTATACTCTGATTGCAAAATACTTTGAGAGGCTTAATAGCCGGTAGATTAGCCTCCTACTGAGCGGCCTATTCCTTGCCCTTAAATCTGGGGCTGAGCCCTGGAGATTGTTACGCCTGCTGCGATTAGCGGGCTACGCAATGCACCTACGTCGCGTTGTGCTCCATTTTAATGGTACCGGAAGATTTTCATAATGGAGATAGAATTTATGGATTGTACGTACTTCACCGATACCGCCACTTCGTATAAGGCCGAAATGTCTCCTTCATAGTCAAGATGACGCCTCGCTGTGTGAAGTCGAATCCAAGGCCAAAAGGCTGTTCCAGGTCGCCTCTGAATTATCTAATCAATGGCGTAAAAACATGCGCAAAAGATCATTCTTTCACCACAATGACATCATTCTTGTCGAGGAAGCCGTCGAACATGAGCAACGAGCAATGAGTAATTACGCATTGTTTTAATCTGTAATATTTCCTGGGGCTCTCGGTAGGAGGGTAAGTCATCGTTTGCGCCTAAATATTTGGAAGCAGTAGCCTTGCATATATCCCAATGCCGTACTTGCCACGAAGAACGTCAAGCACGATACCAAACAGAGCTCCTAATACCTCGGATGCCTCGACCTCATCAACGCGAGAATCAAGCCAACAGACGATAATTCTAGAGGGTGGAGATTCGATGAGGGCAAGGAATATGACAGTGGGCGACGGGTCAGTATAGCTCTCTGATGCCATGTTACAAAAGATTGTACGGAGCTGAACTTAGATTTGGGAGTAGGTAGGAGCGCGAATGAGGTGTCTCTGACTTACATATAAGCCTTTTCAGACTTGTCAAGTTTCTATCCTCCTATTAATAATGCTGCCTTGGCAAATCACATGTGACTTTTATGTAGTTCGGGGATGAGACCTCTGGCCCTTGGAATTGAGTGCAGGGGCTGGTAAAGTCTAAAAAATCCTAAAATTGTGGGCCAAAAATCTACAAACACCTTCGCGTAAAACACCATCACGCAATGCGGCAACTGTAAATCTTCAATCGTCCACAACCTATGCAAATGGAGTGTCAATCAGGATAATGTTTCTATCGAAATATGAACTAAGTGACGGACGCCCAACCAACCGTGAATTTAATCGTTGAGACGGGAATATACGAGGTTATTCCAAAAGGCATTGCCGAAACGAATGGACTCTTCCCTGTCAAGGAAATAGCCAGACTGGCTACAATTAGCACCCGTGAGATCATTGGTGGCTGGCCCGTGGCACCCCTTGGACCCTTATTGAAGGATAAGGACGTGACCCTTGGTACAAAATTGAACACCCCTATCATAGCACTCTATGCACAAACAGAACCCCGTATCACAAATGCTGCAAGAGTAACGGCAATCCCCCTGGATGCTCAGCGTACAGGTGTCACACCAAGGAGCTTCGTGATCAAACAAAGGAAAGACAAGATCGCTAGGGACAGGGGCGTCAGAAATCCGAGTGCCAACTGTTTCATCATGCTCTATTAAGAGCTTGATTAGCTTAATATTATTAGCGCGGAGCGCCTACCACATCAGACTTTGGCCAACGCCGCCCTGTATCTTAACGGCTGCACTGCTGGCGATAAGAAGTTTGGCTATATGCATGTGACTATTCGCTACTGCAGTAAATAATGCTGTTGAGCCTATTTAGTCCTTGACGTCTAGATTGATGAGCCCTTTGGAGATGAGGACTTGCGCTGCTTGGTAGTGCCTATACCTGGAAGCGAAGAAGAGGGCTGTACGGCTAAGGTTGTTCGGTTTGCTGGGGTCGATATGAGGGATACTTAATAATAACGTGACTACCTCGATATGTCCATTCCTTGATGCTGTAATAACTGGCGTCCGTCCTGTACTGTTCGTAACCATAATATTGGCCCTATTCTCGAGAAGTAGCTTGACCACCTCGATGTGTCTATTGAATAATGCTGTAATAACTGGTGTCCATTTGTTATTATCCATAACCGCAATATCGGCTCTGTTCTAAAGCATTAGATCAATAAGTTCTATAAACCCCTTTGTAAATAATAAGTGACCGTTACCGGTAAAAATCCGCTACCAATTAGTATACTAAGAAGGTATCTTTGTACTGTAAGCTAGTGTAAAGGTACTTTTGCAGTACTTAGCTTAGTTATCTACTACCGGGACTCTAATTCCTTCCTCTAGGGTAAGTACTGCTACTAGCAAAAGGTATCTTTAGTAGGGATATACTAGTAAAAGTAACATTAGCTATCTTTTTATAGGTCTATTACTAATAAAAATATAAAGCCTTATAAAGTATAATTATTCCTTTATTATATAGATAATAAAGGAATACCTTATAGCTTATTCTAAGGTTAAAGGTAAGCTAAAGCTATATACTAAAGTAATAGTAAAGGTAATAGTAAAAGAAGAAAGTAAAGATAATGCTACTTAAAGTAGTAAAGATAATAGTAATAATAAAAGTAAAGGAAATAAAGCTACCTAAAGTAGTAAAGATAATAATAATAATAAAAGTAGAGATAAAGCT